AAATAAGTTTCCTCTAGACCTTTATCTAGCTTCAATATCACATTGTTTTGGTGGTGATAACTTACTTAAAAATAAGAACTTCATAAATATGGCTTCACTTTGGTGAAGAAACATTAAAGAGGTGAACTATAAATATGCAGTATATCATATAAAGACACTTTAGGCCATACATTGTATTATGCTCTCCCCTCTTGTTCCTCTTCTGAATCTCTCACCCCTCTTCATCCTCCTCTCCCTGCCCTTCACCAATCTCTCTCCAGAAAAGGGCATCTTCATCCTGGAGAGTGAGCCGCTGAAGCGCTGCGTCACGGTGGACCGCTCTAACCTGGTGCTGGAGGACTGCGAGCGGCCCACACGCCGCATGCTGTGGAAGTGGGTCTCCCAACACCGCCTCTTCAACGTGGGCACCAGCACGTGCCTGGGTCTCAACATGTCAGACACGACGCAGCCCCTGGGCACGTTCGAGTGCGACATGACCCTGCCCGTGTTGTGGTGGCGCTGCAGTGGAAAGATGCTGTACGGGGCGTCCCAGTGGAAGGTTGCCGTGGCCGGACGTTTGTTGGTGGTAAAGAAAAACTCTCATCATGTGTGGAAAAGGTACAACACAGCTAGAGAAGGGCCCTGTTCGTATCCATATGAAGGTAAACTCCTGAAATATCCTGCATTTTAATGCAACAGCTCATTGGTGACATTTAACACGTTTTTAAAATGGACCTGGTGTTTTACTTGCAGATATCCACACTTTGTTGGGGAATGCACATGGCATGCCCTGCGCTTTCCCCTTTAAATACAACAACAAATGGTTTTCTGAGTGCACGAGTGAGGGGCGTGAGGACCAGCTGCAGTGGTGTTCTACCACTACTCGCTATGATGAAGCTGAAAGATGGGGCTTCTGTCCAGTCCAAGGTAAAACACAGACACAACAGAGGCAGGAAGAAAAGTGCTGCAAGTACATGTATGTGGACACCCCCCAACATTGTAATCCTCCCATGCACAAATCCAAAACCCACAATGAAGAGATTTTCTGTGTTTGCTGTGGAACTGACCTAAACAGAGCCCTGAACCTAAACCTGTGACCTTTAGGACCCTGATCAGACCTGGTCTTAACATCTGTCCTGAGTGATCCGATCACAAGTGGTCAGAAACATTCCCAGGACCATGTCCGGATGTGGTCTGGGACGCATGCGGCCACATACTGTTCGCTGTGTGAACACGAATGCGTCATGGGCCACATATGAAAGACCTCCTACTCAGCTGGTGTCCTCTGACCCGCTGAAGTTTCCACCACATTCTCTTTCCCCCAACATCAATAATCAACCTCCACATCTCTACTACAGCTGAATAAGGGGTTATCCCAGTTGGCACATGATAAAGTCTTGTAGAGAGAAACTTTTTCTAGAATTTTGGAACACGTGAATGTCCCCGGATCTTGAAAGGAACCAAGTATTATGTAGATATGTAATTATTGGGTGGTAGAGTGTTCACATACTTTTTGCCATATAAAAATAATTGTTTTTTTTTTCACTGAAATTTATTTGTGAAAGTATTTCTGGTGATGGATGGTTAAGATGCATGCTGTGATCATAATGTCCTTTGCTGCATTTCACATTTCCCTTCACCCTCTCCCCACGAATACAAAATAATATCATGCCACCTCTCCACATATCAGTTTCCTTTTTGCTTTTTTTTAAAAATCATACCTTTACTCATAGATACCAGTTGTGAGCATTTCTGGGAGTCAAACCAGGAGCTGCATGCATGTTACCAGTTCAACCTGTACACCATCCTGACCTGGAGTCAGGCGCAGTCAACCTGCCAGGCTCAAGGTGGAAATCTGCTCAGCATCACCAGCTTGGCAGAGCACAGGTACATCAGAGGTACGTATCTGGTTGGTTTAAAGATTACACAAAAACTACTGACAAGATTTTCATGAAACAAGAATGACAAATGGGTTTTTTCATCATTTTGCCCTGATTCGATTTCCCAGGGAATAATTCATGGATGGTTTGATTTCTATAAGTGGGTGCAATTTAGGTCATTTAAATGTGGATTCATAGGGGGGTACATTTTTTCAGCTGCTGCACAGTAGTAGAATATGGTGCTAAAGCAAACAAAGGGCTGGATGTAGTGTTGTTCCATTATCATTATCTCGAGATAGGGCCCTTGTCAGAGATATGTACTGTGTTGGGTTCCATTCCAGTTCATCCTGCCTCACATGAGCTTTCCTCCTCACCCTCTTTCCCTTTCAGTTTTTTTTGTCTTCTTCCATAACCTTGTGTTTAATTTATCTCTGTATTCTGCTCAGAGAAGATTTTACATCATCCACAACATGCATGTTTTTGTATCTTGCATTAGATCGACTGGCAAGTGTGGGAGTGATGGTGTGGATTGGGCTTCACCACCTGAAGGAGGGTCGTGGCTGGCAGTGGTCTGATGGAGCACCTCTGTCATTGGTCAATTTTACCACAGGTACTGATTATTTGTTTTATCCAGGGCCAATAGTTCTGAGTGTCCTTGACAACAGCTTTTTACTTGTAGCACAATGTTTTCCCACACAACACAGGGGTTATGATGGTAATTCTCTGTGGGCAATGAAATGCATATTATGTATGAATGTGCAGTATGTGGCAAATGGATGCATTGAAGTTTGATAAACTTTGAAGAAAAGAGAAATTGGTTGATTTATTACAGTTTTTAATAAACATTTGTTTGAGGCTTTGGGGAACCCTAAACAAGGACGAAGTAAAAAGCAAACCAGAGAAGGTTAAAAACAAACCTCAGGCCAGATTCAGACCTGGGAATAACATCCGCCCTGAAAGTGTCTCCTGTGACTACATGTGATCGGATCTTCCTTGGCTGCTCTATTTATAAATAAACACGGATGTCATTTGTGTTTACAGTGACCAAATTAAGTTGTGTTTTTCCCAGTCTGAGTTTACAGATGTGTCCGATGACACGGTGTGTCTGTCGGTGTCTGTGTGTTGGCACAAGCCAGAGATAGAGACATGTGGGCACTGAGAAGAGAAGAAATATGTTTGATTCATTATGAAGCAGGTCAGAGGACGTCAGCTGAGAAGTTAGTCCTTCATATGTGGTTACATTTACATTCACACAGCAAAAAAAATGTGGCCACATGTGTGGTCAGAGTGATCTGATCCCAGGACACGTTGAGGACAGATCTGGGTGCGTTCAGGCCTTTTTTATACACAGTTTATACTGTAGTTTAGACCTGTAGTCTGACCACTTGTGATCAGATCACTCAGAACAGAGGTTGACACCAGGTCTGAACGGGGTCATAGGGTCTGAATTCCTCCCGTCACTGTGTTCCCATCAGCTCTACCTGCCAGCCCACTGAAAGACAACAGACAGTGTGGAGTGTACAACTCAGCCTTCGAGGGTCACTGGCAGAGCCTCTCCTGTGAGTCCGCGCTGCCTTACATTTGTAAGAAAACACCCAACAACACCAGGAGAGCAGAGCCACTGGGTGAGACACACACACACACACACACACACACACAC